TGTGGAGTGTGCGGTTCCCCAGCGACTGCAGGCCAGCGGCGGACACTTGAAACCCACCCCCCCCACCCCCGCTCGGGCGCATTTGCAGAACCCAGGCAGGCTCCGTGCCTTGCAGTTAAGGCAGCCGGAGCCCACGTGGCTGACTGAGGGTTCGAATCTGGGCCCTGCGGCCCGGGTGTGTGGGTACGCGTGCCCCCATCTCGACAGAATGGAGAAATGGAGGAGAAGGGGTTGTGGTGGGACCTTTTACTATCCGGGGGCGGGTGCTTTCTAGCTGACTCCTCTCTCTGGTGACCCCAAGCACCCAGGCTTTCGCATGACGCCAGCTGTCAGGGGAATTTAGCAGGGAGGTTCGAACCCCAGGGGGCATGCTCCCACTCACCAAACGTGGCGAACACCTTAAGGGCCACCTATTGGGGTCCTGATCAGCACTCACCTAGTTGGTTCTGAGCTCCATTTTCCTAGCGGAGTTCCTTTAGGGTTCCCCTGGAACTTGCCTTGCTTTGAAGAAACGCCCCCTTCAGGAAGCCCGCACTGCTCCGCGGCTGCCTGTTCTGCACTCTGCCCGAGGCGGGGCGCACGGGGCCAGCTGTACCTCGGCAGTGGAAGAGGAGCCTGAGAAGTACAAGAGGCCCCGGGAGTCGAGGAGTCCACCCAAGACTGCTGTTGGTCTGTCTGCGCTCCCACCCCCTCAACCCCCGTATTGGCAGGGGGAGGGGAGTGGCCAAGCAGCTCGCACTCCAGGGCTTGGTCCCCCTGAGCTTCCCCCCCTGAGCTGTGGGCGATCTCGGGCGCCACTAACCTTCCTGGACACCTGTTTTCTGTCAAACTGGGCTATGTGCTCTCCAAAGTTCCTAGTAGTTTGAAAAGGTAACTCTGAAACCTTGTCTAGGACTCCGCTCTCAGGAGAAGGGAGAAGGGAAGCTTGACAAGGCGATTCTACGGCTCTGTAGGGACATAACTGTGGGTCTCCACCTGGATTCCTAGCACGTGCGGGAGCTTAGCAGCAGGACCAAGGTTTTGAATCCTGGGGGAACACCTGTAGGTATTTTAGGTACAGGGGTGTTCATCTTAACATTCATGTGTGTATTAGGTTTTTGCCATGGGGCACTGGCACTCACCGGAGACAGGGGAAGTGAGAAATCACCCCAGGGGGATGGCTGTACTGGACGACGACTCCTCCATTCTCCTCTTGGGATGTGGAGCAGCGGTCTCACATGCAGCTGCAGCCAGTGTGACTTTCAAGCTACTGGTCTGGGATTAGAACCATGGTCGGCTCTGTGGTAGTCTAGCACATTAACAACCACACACCTGCTGGCCTCCCTGTGTGTGTTTTGTTTTTGTTTTTTCTTGGAGAGAGTTTTGTTATAGGGCATGTGTGCTCACCAGAGAGACTGAGTCAGAAAGTGAGAAATCACCCCCTCTGGGGAGATGGCCATGCCACAATTCCTTCTCCTTCAGTCTCCTCTTAGCATTTTGGGCACGCACATCCGGCATGAATTTTAAGCTGCTGGGTCCAGGACTCGAACCGCAGTCAGCTACATGGGAGTCCAGCGGCGTAACCATTATGCCGTCCACTAGCTTCTCCCTTTGTTTAAGATCAGACTTTATCCTGCAGAAAAAAAGGCCTCCCCAGAGAATCGTCAGCTTCAGAGAGCCTGGGTGCTGCTTTTGTCCTGCTTAAGGGGACGCCTGCATGTCTGTCATCAACCCTAGGGGGCAGGTCGAGCTGGCCTGCACGTTCTTGGCCATGCATCTTACTCGCCCGACCAAGCTGTTAGCTCCCATAATGTATCGTGGAGGCCACCCAGACTGACCCTGCTTTCTCCTGTGGTCGGGAATGAAGTCGCCAGTGTTAAGAGAAGGAGGTGCTCCCCAGCTTCTGAGATGGGGGCCCGTCAGGCAGGGGTTGGGTAAGCTCTGCTCCCTACTGTCCAGTTCCTAGAGCAGAAATACGGCTACTACCACTGCAAGGACTGCAACATCCGCTGGGAGAGCGCCTACGTGTGGTGCGTCCAGGGCACGAACAAGGTAGGAGAGGGCGGGTCAGCGGGCCTTCCCTGCCCCGGGCCGGGCGCTTCTGCCTGACACGGACTCCTCCTCCCAGGTGTATTTCAAACAGTTCTGCAGGACTTGTCAGAAGTCGTACAACCCTTACCGGGTAGAGGACATCACCTGTCAAGTAAGTCGAAGGTTTGCGCTTTGGCATGACTTGGGTAGTCGTGGAGGATTCTTAGTTTCTGGAATGTACTTCCTAAAAGAGGCTCCCATGGCCCTAGGTTTCGAATGCTTTTTGCTGGGAGTTGTAGAAACACTACCCCGCTGGGAAATGAGGCCTCTTGGTAGCCTCCTCTGTCTTTGCAAATCTTGGTCACGTTCACCCCTTTTAAATGTGTCTTGCTGGCAACATGGGAGAAGTCTCGCCTTGCCCGCTACTCAGAGTCTAGAATGAGGGACAGCAAACAGGAACACAGAACTGAACCTTTCTACAGGGGTATAGTTCCTCTGGTCTGAGGGCTCACAGAGAGACTGTTTTAAATCCAAATTGCTCGGTTTCACCATCAACTCGTAACATATGGGGTGCTTGCTGTGAGCCGAGCCCTGCACCGAGGGCTCAGGTGTCCTCCCAGGGCGGGGCCATGGCTGACCGTGCCTGGTACCACACTGCAGCCTGACTGCCCTCGCACCGTCTCAGCGATGCACGGGACTCAAGTTGGACATGGGCGGGTGGGAGCAACTGCAGGGAGACCTGTCCACGCTGTCAGATGGGGCGGGGGAGGTGTGTTCTCAAGTCAGCAGACTCTGCTTGGCTGCCACAGCCAGGCTCACCCTCTCATCGCTTCCACCCTCCCCGCCCTTCCAGTGAAGGAAGCCTTTCTCTTAGGGCATGATTTCAAAAGTAGTGTCAGGGTTCAGAATCGGATTGGTGCTGTGTGGTCCTGCCACAGCGTGGCTGACCCCCAGTTCCAAACCCCACCCCTGCAGGGTGTAGACAGAGAGGAGGGGGCAGCCCAAGGCTCTACTTAGAGCACGCCCAGCTACCTGAGCAGACTAGAATAACTTGGAGGGCCCGGAAGCGACCCAGGGGCCGTCCTCTGTGTGTCTCCCATGTTTCAGAGATGTAAACAAACAAGGTGTTCCTGCCCAGTAAGACTGCGCCACGTGGACCCCAAACGGCCCCACCGCCAGGACCTGTGTGGGAGGTGCAAAGGCAAACGCCTGTCCTGCGACAGCACTTTCAGCTTCAAGTACATCATCTGAGTCGATGTTAGCGGCACAGTCCCCAGGGACATCCACTGGGAGCGCCCGCAGCGTGCCTGTACCCCTGCTCCTCCCGGCCCTTCCCCGCCAAGTGGCCAAAGGCAGTGTCTTCTGACAAGGCCTTCAAATAAAGGTATTGCAAAGTAAGCCAAACTGCAGAAACTCTTGTCTATTCAAAGACAATTTTTAGGAGGGGCCAGCAGGTGGCATGGTGGTTAAGGGGCGGGACTCCCACTTAGCCAACTGTGGTTTAAGTCCTGGAGGCTTGAAATTCACACTGGGCTTGTGTGTGTGCATGCACATGCACCCGGAGGAGAACAGAGACAGGATTGCAGCGTAGCCCACCTTCCCTCTCACTGGCTCTGGCTCTCGCTCTGGCACACACTCTATGGCAAAAACCTTTATTAAAAAAAAAAAAAAAAACTGGGGAGAGCTAGTCTGCTGTTGACAAGCTGGGCCTGTCATTAATTGCTGATGGCACCTTGGGGCAAGCTGTGCTGGGTCACAACTGCCTGCAAGAGCACAGAGGGCTCAGACTGTTAGCTCCCGAGGCAGGGCCGGAGGGCTGAGGTGGTGTGGTGGTTAAGGGTGTTGGACTTGCACATAGCTGACCGTGGTTCGAGTCCTGGACCTGGCAGCTTGCTTTCTTGTTTTTGTTCTCTCTCTCCTTCTCTGGTCAAATTAAAAAATAAAGTTAAATAAAATATATTTTTAAAAAAGTATACAGGGGCTTGAGGTGTGTCTAGAATCCTTCTATGGGGGGGCCCACCTGTATCAAATGGACCAGAAAGGTGCTTGTGAAAATGCAGATTCCTAAGCCCATACCCCCACTAAATCGTGTCTTGGGTGAAGAATTTGAGAGGCATCTCGGGTGTTGCTTTCAGACCTGAAGTGTGAGAAGCTGCCTATCACCCTTGTGCTGCTGGGGCACCTGACATAGCCGCCCCCCCCGCCCCCCGTGGGGAGCCCTCGGCAGTGGGCGGTGGCCACTTCTACACAGCTGAACGTGCAGCGGGGGTCCTGATGCGGAGTGGGGGGCCTGCTTAGCTCTGTGCCTCTAATAAGAGGGGGTATGACTTAGGCCAGAGCTGCCTAAGGTGACGCTTCGGGTCAGCCGAAGCATGGGTGGGTTGATTTAGAGGGGGCAGATGGCCAGCTGGGGGTGTGGTGGTTAAGGAGCTAGACTCCCACGTGGCCAGCTGTGGTTCGAGTCGTGGACCTGGCAGCTTTTCCTGTTTCTGGTGAGCACGTTGCCCTATTGCAAATTAAAGACCACAATAAAATAATTCTTTAAAGGGAAGGAGAGAAATTTTCTAGACTCAGGCAACATGTGCAAAGGGCCTATGGTCGGATACCCTGGAAGACGTGACACCAGACTGAAACGAGCAGAGTGGGAGGACTCTCCAGGCCTTGCTCAGGAAGACTGGTCTGTACTCATCAGGAAGAATCCACGTCTTCTGGTCCTTCCCCACCCTCCTCCTCATTTGCTGCAGGGCATGTGCACCCACAGGGAGGGGAGTGCAGAGAGAGGGAAGCCCCCATCATGGGGGCAGTCCCTGCTGCAGTCCTGTCTCCACGTCGCCCTTCACCGGGTGTCAGCTCTCGGACTCGAACCATGCAGTTGGCCATCTAGTCACCCTTGATGGCAGTAGGGCATGGTCGCAGACTCAACTTAAAAAGGAACTGGCCCAGCCTGATGGCGCAGTTGGCTAACCGTGCTGTGGTGTTCAAAGCCACGTGGTCAGGGGCTCAGCTCTCGGGGTTGGCCTGGAAATACACCACGAGCTGGAGACCCGGATGAGCCAGGGAAAGGGTGTGGTGTGAGCCCGCTGAGGGCCATCTGGCACGGTACTGGCTATGGTGAGCACACCAGAGCCCTCGGGGAGGGCAGGAGATTGTGGGGGAGACTTGAGGGGACCAGATGCTGGTGGGGTCCAGAGGACGAATGACAACTTGGGGTGCAGGGAAAGACGATGCTCTTGTTCCTTTGGACATGCGATTGCTGGGTGGGGTGGGGTGCAGGTGTGGGGTGCTTGCTCACTCCCAGGCATGCATGTACTCAAGAACCAATGGCTGGGGACCAGCAGTTAGCATAATGGCTATGTCGCTGGACTCCCACGTAGTTGACTGAGGTTCGAGTCCTGGACCCGGTGGCTTAAACTCACCCTGGGCACATGTGCATGCGTGCCCAAGATCCTGAGAGGAGAATGGAGGAGAAGGGATTGTGGCGTGGCCATCCCCCCTGGGGGGTGATTTCTCACTTTCTATCTCTCTGTTTCTCTCTTTCTGGAGAGTGCATGCACCCTACAGCAAAAACCTCTCCGAAAAATAAATCAATTAAAAAAAAAGAACCGTTGGCTGAATAAGCGAATGGGCTACAGAAACAGCTGGGTAGGGTCCTTGAGCAGAAGCCGCTGGCTCTTAGCCCGGGTGGCTACGTCGTTCAGTTCTGCTCATGGAGATGTTCAAACCCTATGTACTGAGGAAAGCAAAGCCCACGTGCTTTATTCAGGTGTGGAACCAAGTGGCACAGGTGCTGTCACAAACGGGAGTTCCTGCGGTGACCGAACCCGAAGGCACTGCCAGACTGCACGTGAGCGGCCCCGCACGGAGACAGTGGGCATCGGTCTGAGACAGCTGGACAGGCTGGAAAAAGTGCTCTACGCTGTAAAGACACACAGTGATTACCTGGGAATTAAAGGCTGTGAGGGGTGAGATTAGAGGAAACACTCAGAAATGCCATCTCCGGGGACTGCAGCTTTCTCCGTGTCTCCTTCGTGCTCTGAAGTGGCCGTGGGTTACTCGGGAAGATGCTGTGAGTACCGCGGCCGCTCTACCGCCGGCAGGTCCTCCCTGTCACCTGGGACACTGTCGGGACTCAGCGGCCGGCATTCGCAGGCTGGATGAGCCGCGGGCTGGCTTCTGTCGTCCTTGCCAGCAGAACAGTTAGCGTGACTTCGGTGGGAGGTAGGCTGTGGGTCACACCACGCCCTTCGCGTGACCTCGCTCAAACCAGGAAACACCTAAACTGTAAAAACCCTCTGGTTTTCTACTGTAGCAGCAGCACACAGAAACAGCCAGGTCTCCTTTTTGCTGTTAGTGTGCATTCAGGGCTCGTGTGCAAACCATTTACAAACGGAAAGTGTCGTGGGCAGGAGTAACAGGCTGTTATGCAGCAAAAACTGGGCTCTAAGTAGAAGTAAAGGTAACAGCGTAGGCCCAGCCGGTGGCCTGGAGGTTAAGGCGCTGGCTCTCACATGGAGTTTGAATCGCAGACCCGGCAGCTTGGAAGTCCCACCAGGGGGCCAGCTTGTAGCATGGTGGTTGAGGCAACTAGATCCTACATAGCCAACTGCATGGTTCAAGTCCTGGACCCGGCAGCTTGAGAAAGATCAGATGCCTATATTGCATGCTTAAAATCCTGATAGAGCTGGTGGGTGGTGTGGTGGTTAAAGGCACTGGACTCCCTCATGGCTATGGTTCAAGTCCTGGACCTGGTGGCTGGCTTTCTCACTTTCCCTCCCTCTGATCAAACTAGAAAATAATAAAAAACAAAAGTCACAGGGGATCAGCAGGTGGCATGGTGGTTAAGGCACTGGACACTCCCACATGGCTGACCATGGTTTGAGTCCTGGACCTGGTGGCTTGCTTTCTCATTTTCCTCTCTCTCTCTCTGGTCAAATTAAATGAATAATTAAAAATCACACCAGGCACGTGTACCCCGAATCCCGAGAGCAGCATCCCTCACTAGGGGGTACTTTCTCACTTAACCCTCTCTTCCCAGCAAATACACATGCCCTTAAAACTACCCGGGAAAGAAAAAAGGACAAATGCATGGAGCTCCATATAAATAAATACAAAAAGCAAATCTCAACTGTTGGAAAGCTCTGATTCTGGGTGGCCGATTTAACTAACTTTGTTCTTTCAGAGGAAAATTACATTAGGAACGAAGGTGACGTGACATTTCGAGCTGATACACGCTAATCATTTGCCCTTTTCAAAAGATATGACACAAACCAACAGCTACAATGCCTTTTATTTTTAACAAAACGGATGTAAGGGGGGGGGCGGTGAGAAAAATAGATGCGGGTGTAAAGTGTGTCTCTGGACACCATCTCGTTCTGCCTGCCCACACCCAACAGTTACTCAATAATTTAAAGGACTATTTACAGTACCAGAACACCGGCAAAATAATTGTTTTTATCAGGGTCAAAAAAATACAGTGATTATGCGTGCCGTCAGCAGTTACGGACTTCTACGGGAACCTCGAGCTCGGCCGGCCCCGCCTTCAGTTAATGCACTTGGGCATAATTACCTCTCTGCCAGGGTCCACACCCCCAAGGAAAGGCAAAGCTAATCATTTCAGCTCTACATTCTAAACTCTGGAATCACAGAGCCCAGTGGAAAAGGAAAGTCACAGTGGATAAGAGATGCATATAAAAAAATACAAGGTGTTCCTTTCGAATCAGAGGAATTGTGGGACTACATTCATTTCGTTTACAAAATGCTAGTTTAAAAAGGACAGAGAATCCAGTTCGTGTTATGCTGCAGACTTAGTGAGTAATATATTGCGTGTTTTGGTAGTCGGTCTTCAGGCTTCCTTGCATTTTCCCCGTAGCCCCAGGTCACGTAGGGTGAAACACGCGAGTCCTGAACGCATGTACAAACACGCGTCCACACCTCTCTTCTCGGATCCTACGGACCTCGGAGCCTGCGGGTCATACAGCCGCCCTCAGTGACCACGGCCTTCTCTCTAGCTTTGTAGACCTCTTCTTGTATAACAGTGCATGGCACAGAAGTACAAGAAAATACTGGTTTTAGTCTATACAGGGTCTATGATAATTACGGAGTAAAATAAGTTAGCTTCTCTCACGAGAACGGCTGCTGGGGAGCGCACCCGCCCTTCCGTCCCAAAGTCTCCGCAGGCGTCTGCTTTGGCGAGTGATCAACCATCGCCGCCCGAGCCCTGCCCGGCGAGCAGCGCTCCAATAGCGTTAACAGATATATTATTTCTTTCTCAAACCCTGGGAAAGCCCAGTTTTAAAATATTATTAAAATGTTCTAACATTTACACACTATGAAGAGTTAGCTCTAATAAAATAAAATTTCTTCAAAAATAATCTTGCAGTGCTCTCGTAGCACGCTCTGAGACGTCGTCACCGGACAGCCATACCTTGAAAATGTCACTACCACGTAGCCACACGTCCCAACTCACGCACACATCATTCCTTATATAGACCCCCCCCAAAACAGAAAACACCCCAAATCCTTATCCCACAGAGTGGAAAAAAAAAAAAAGCAATGGTTTTGCAGGTGAGTCTTGTGTGTCTGCGTGGCTGCCGCTCACGCCGCTGAGCATCCCCTGCAGGTTCCGTTCGAACCTGCTGGAGACCCGGGCGGCGCTGCAGGTTCTCCGCTAAAATGAGCCAGCGCGTTTCAGCCTCATTCCACCTGCTTCCTGGCGCCTCCGTGTCAGAGGCCGCTGCGGCGGACGTGCCGGGACTGCCCCTTCTTCAGGAAGTAGCACGTGCGGATGCATCACTTTAGCCCTTTTCATTTCATGCGTGTTCGGCGATTTGAAAATTCCTTCTCCGTACAGTTATGGGGGGTGTCCGACAGCTGAGCTCTCCTCTGCGGATCGGTCTTCGACAGTTCGACCTCAGTGGCATTGTAACTGCAGACGCTGCCAGAACAGCGAACTGCAGGGTTCATAAAAGGTGCTTGGCTAATGTTCTCAACTAGCTTGCTTCGTTTCCTCCCCAAGTGCCGGAAGTTCTCAGAACCCAGTGCTGACCATGTTCCCCACAGGCTTGGCCTGCGTGAGCAGCTGGTAGGACTGCACCATCCGCAGGGACTCTCGCATTTCTAGGTTGAGTTCCATCAGTTTGTAGTTCGCTTCTGACATGTCCAGGTTGGAGCCTATGACCGCGAAACTTCCGGTCTGGCCCAGGGTCTGGTGATGGAAGTAAATGTGTAACAGCGTCTGCACGGCGTCGTCTTCACAGCTGCCGAAGATATCGTGGGGCCAGAGGGTTCTGGAAATGCACAAAACTGCTTACGTTTCAGAACTTAAAAAATAACATTAGCTACATCTTAATACCGATATCTATTAATAATATCTATAACAAAATTTCCTTGGGATAACTACTGGTGTTTTATATTTGAGAAAATATGTTACTCAAAGTAGTATCTGAGTGGAAAAAAGTCTAAAATTGGCTTAATTTCAGGGATAACTATTGAAAATAAAGCCTATTTTTTTTTTTTTTTTCCTTCATGGAGGCGTGATTGAAACATCAAGTTGAAAACCAAAACCGAGGTCCAGCCCATGACCCGGTGGTTAGGGTGGCTGGACTGCACATGGCTGGCTAGGGGTCTGAGTTCTGGACCCAGAGGCCTGGATACATGCCAGACACGTGTGCCTAAAATCCTGGGAGGAGAATTTGGGAGAAGTGACTGTGGGTGGCCAACCCCCATAGGGATGCTTTCTCACTCTATGGCAAACAAACATGCCCGATGGCAAATGAAAAAACAAAACGAAACAAAAAGAAGCCCACTATGAGAAAACCAGCAGTCTAGTTACGAAGGCATCGTCTGTAAGTCCCTTCACGTCTCACCTGAAAGCTTTGACTTGTGCGACAGCCGATACGAATTCCTTATTTTTCAAAGTTTCGATTAAAGAATGAATGGCAGTTTCTATAGTAGCCTGTGCAGCTTTGGAAATGTCAATTTCTTCATTTTCGGAGGCAGACTCTGCTTCCTTGAGGATCCTTTCCAGCTGGGCGAGGCCCTCTGACATGTTGATGACCTGAAACACACACCTTTTTAGGACCGACGCCGGAGCGTCAGCTGCCGGGAGGGCAGAGAGTAGGCTGTGCCTTCCCTGCTTTGAAAGATTACTGTGGAGCGTCCCACTCAGAAGGGAGGGCAGCGATATCTGAAGTTCTCCGTTTATTAGAGACAGAGACATGACTGCAGCTACCAGCTAATGGTCTCTAAATAGTATCGTAGAGCAGCGAGTGGCTTCACTGCTATTTATGTGTTTGTATCGGCGGTGACATGATTACATTTTGGATAACATAAATATACTTATTGTTATGGGGGAATCGTAACAATTTTGACAGTAGGAGCAAGTCTCTATTTTAAAGATTACTTACCCAAGGTATTTTATATAAACACATACATACATACATTCGTACATAAACATGTTTTCTTTTTACAGGTTTCACCGTTTTTAAAAACGGAATCGCTTCCCAGTGATGGTTCTAGGGCCAGCAGAGGACGGGGCGGGAGACCTGGAGTTGCTGTCTTCGAACCTGTACTCTAAAGGACTCCGAGCTGTTGCTCAGCGTGTTTCTTGTGTGTACCCACAGGACCCGGTGTGAGGGAGCTTCGTGACATGGGACCATGTCTTCACTGAACCGACAGGCGTCACTTGACTTCCGCTGACGGAGGGTCCGTTTCTGCTACTGAAACCTTTAAGGTTTTGAATCTTTTGAGACTGCTGGAGACCTCTCTGTTGTTTACCAATAGGTCCTGATGCAGCACGTCATTTCAAAAAGACACGTTCCACAGAAGAAGGAAACGATTCCCTAGAAGTGACTTTTGACTTGAGCTATTCTATTGATGATGCGGAAATAAGTGTGTCTGTTTTAAAATGTCAGGAAGTCAGTTACTAATGCCGAGTGCAATGGAGTACTTACCTCCGCTTCGTTTTTTATTGTATTTACTTGGCCGATGAGTTTGCAGTAGGCCTGGAACAAAAGCAGCAACTGAAAATGCAATTTGTACAACCTCCGGCACAGCTCCAGTTCCTGAAAGTTAGGACATGTGGTTATTTTCCGTGATGGGCGTTAAACAGCCCAGTTCCAATAAAAACGTGTGAGTAATTGTTAAAGTTGTTGGGCATTTGCTTTTCTGCAGTAAGCAAGTTAACATGATATGAAGCTGATGAGAGGCACATGAAAGATGCTTTGAAGACTGGGGTTAAAACAACATATTGGTTATCTATCAGTGATTCATCTTGGTGTTAAGCACATTTTCATTTTCGAAAAAATAGGACGTTTCAGCACGCAGTGATATATAGGACTTCAAAAGGGAGGCCCTACAGTCCGAACGGTAATACAGTTTGCAGTGCACAGATTTCTGCACCGAGACGTAGACTTTATCGTATTTATCAGCACGTGCTCGGTAGAGCAGAGAGAAGCCGGGCAACCTCTCACCTAGAGAAATGCGAGTTGTCTTTCAGATGAAGTCATTTTTCTAGACGCTACTTGGAAATTTCAATGAAATGAGACTATGGAATGAGCAGCCATGTGCACTTTGATTTTTAAGAGTAAGGCATGTTGAAGAGGGGTTAGTTGTAGAGAAAGGCCACGGCTAGATGTATGTATTAATTTTAAAATCCCTTGTTTTAACAGAACCGACATTTCATGGATTAGGACTATGAAAACTAGAGCACACGCTACTTTTAAAGTAGTCCATGACGACACACTGCTAGACCACGAATGGCGGATGACAACCAGGCTGCCGGGCAAGGACAAGTCGTCTGTCAATCAAGACAGGTCACTTACTGCTAGAATTTCCATTTGCTAAGCAAGAAGGTGATCAGGTCACAAAAAGAAAAAAAAAAATACAAAAGAAGAAAAAGACCAAGAATTAGTGTGAGAAATCATTTAACCGAGGGTAACAGATGTCACGGGCAAACGGCAGAAATCTATCTTTAATCCCAAAGGAAATTCCATGATGCTGTTTCTAGAATAAAACATCTTAGACATTTACTGCTACAATTCAGAGTGTTTTTTGAAATTCTTTGCCAAAAACTACATTTAGGTTATGGTTTGTTTCTATGTGAAGGCTACAGAGAGTGATCTTGGGGAATCTGGCTAATAGAAGTGTTCCATTTGGGTTTTGTAGCCTTTCCTCAAACAAAACATTTCTGTTAGAAAAGAGGAAAGCTTATGATGAGAAAATTCAAGAAACGAAAGTAAATTAGCATTGCTTCTCAGAAAAGAGTTGGTTTATAATCTTACATAATAAGAAAATTCAAGAAACGAAAGTAAATTAGCATGTATTCTCAGAAAAGAATTGGTTTATAATCTTACATAATGCACACCCATGGAAAGCTCAGTTTTGGTGTGGGTAATTCCAGGTTTCTACCCTTTTATTATCTAATTGGGTACCTAGGGTGTCAGAATTGCTGCTGAGCCGCAGGGGTAGGACAGCAAAAGCAGGTGTGTGTTTTAAATGCATTCCAAATGTAAATTGGTAAGTTTCAGAAATTCAACCCAACCAGGTTTAAACTCAAAGGTGAACACATAGTGAGAAGTCTAATTTATAGGCCGTCTTAAAAATTATTAGAATATTCACAGCAACTTGGACCTGGTCTAATAAGAATTACATCCAATTAAAACACAATTACTGGGGCCAGCAGGTGGCGTTGTAGTTAGAAGCGCTGACTCCCACATGGCCGACCACGGTTTGAGTCCCATACCTGGAGACTTCTTTTCTCTTTCTCTCTCTCTCTCCCCCTGTCTCTCTTTGGCCAAACTAAAAATAAATAAATAAATAAATAAATAAAGTTCAATAAAAATAATTCTTAAAAAAACAAAACAAAACCACACCGTTGTTAGAGTTCAATAAAAATAATTCTTAAAAAAAAAAACAAAACCACACTGTTGGTACAATGTAAATGTAGCTTCTACAAGTCATTCTTAGACGCCCGCTTTTCTGTTTCCTCTGCAGGATTGTTTAGGTAACATTTATTCCCACCAATTTAGAAGGGATTTGCTAAGTAAAGGTGAACTTCCGCTCTGCACGACTTCCCATGAATTATGGATACAGTCACTGGGCAGACAGCAGCCGAGGCTGATCAGCCCAGCTGATCAGCATATCTGAATTTCGGAGGCTTGGTTTTATACAGTTTTATTTCATATGGAAATGAACAATTTTGAGTTTTCATGAAATGCATATGAGCACGCCTGGCAGACAGTTCACGTTTATCGACTACACCACTTTCTCAACACGGCGGTTTTGTGAAAACATCCAATCTTTAATGTAGTAATTTTTAGAGACTAGATCTCTAATAATGGTGAGTTGAAAATCCTGCAATTCTGATGTCAAATCAGAGATTACAGTGAGTTGATAAATGCACACTCTGCAGGAAGCCGCACTCCGGCTGGAACGGGGTGTGGGTTTTGACCCGTTCTCACGACTTCCCGTGTACCTGTGACTACTCGGTCCTGCTGTTCTCACTGCACTTTATGCGCTAGGGAAATATCGGTGACCCACCTAGCCAAGAGACTCTCGCTTTCAGAAAGGCTAATGTGGATGCACATCACGTGACCCGTGGGTCTGTTTTTCCGGCCAGTTCAACTGCAGAGTGCTAATGTTTTGTCCAGGGGCAGATGCAGCTAGAAGCCAGCCCACCCGTCCAGACAGCCATGGCGCTTATCTGTGGGACGTTCCTAGGCTTCCAAGCCCAGCTGGTTGTTCATTTTTATTAAAGTGAAGTTTTTATTACTAAGCCAGCATGCCACTGAATGGTACTCTCACAAAGATCGCTCTGATAACCAAAATGAAAAGTGTCAGGAAGACGTTATCTCGGGGAATAACAAATAAGGACATTTGAACGTAAGTAGCGCCTGACCAGGCCCAGAAATACGGAAGAGTGAGAGGCGTACCTGTGCATCGGTGTTTATCCTGCACGTGTCGTCCTTGGGGCCGAACGTCCTCTGACAGCTGTCTAACCACTGAGGAGACACCAACAGCACGTCAGTACGGGGCTGCCTGATGCGCTGCCCGTGAGACGACGGAGTCCAGCGCTGGGGTTCAGGGCCAGCTGCAGACCACCCTGCAGCCCTGTCGCGCCCCGTTCTTAGGGACAAAGGACAGCAGGGCATGGCCGTGTGTGGAGATGCGCACACATAACGTCCACGGAACACGATGGAGTTCTGCTGGGGCCCATGGCGCTGGGATGGTCTCCGTCCGTTCTGCAGATTTTGACATCTCCAGAAGCTGCACCTGACCTGAGTCCAGCGTCAGCCGGGCACATGGAAGACGTGCTCCCCCTCTGGCCAGCTTAGTAAAGGCAGCTCGGAATTACCCAGGACTCTGCTCATCCGAAGCACCAGCCTCAGGAGACTGGGGTCAGTTTTAATTAGTGACACAGAAATCAACATCTGTCTCACATCTTGTTCTCGCCTTTGCTTTCTTTCTGGGTGATAACGAATGACAGACACGCTATCTCCAAAGAAGACTGGAGGCAGAGACCAAATGTGGTGTTTGTTTGTTTGTTTGTTTGTTTGAATCTAGGGGCTATTTGTAAAGCTGATGCTAATATAAGGTACATCTCTGGTCAAGTGAAAACAGTAGCTTTGTGGGGTGGCAGCCGAGAGCACGGGGTGAGGACGTTCCACGCTGGCGTAAAAGCTGCCCCTTCGGGTCAAGCTCCTAGGTCCTGCCAGCTCGGTATGATCAGCTCTTTCTGCTCCCCAGTTCTCAGGGGTGTGATGCCAGTAAACATAACACAGCTGACACATGTACACGGAATCGTTAGGGCTGAGACGAGCTACGCGCTTCACTAAGCAGCTATTCTGAAAATACCTCGGAACCAGACGCCTAAAATTCTCACAGCTCAACGTTCTCCACGCCGAGAATTAAAAGGAGGCATCTCAGTTGTTTGAAAAGCAGTCTCTTTGACCTAACGTCCCTTTTCTCCCCGTCCCTCAGACTGCACTGGCCCTAAGGCTGTTCGCTTGATGGCATCTCTGAAGAGAACATGGTACGTCTCTAGTGACATGGGGCTGATGGCCGCCACTGCCCGAACGAGCGGATGTCTTTCTAGACCAGCAAAACCCAGCTGACCTCTCCTGTGGTCCGTGCATTCATCTTTATTCGTACTGTGAAAGCGGTCGGATCAGAATGGAGTCCCACGTCAAACCCTAACAGGCAGACGGATGGACGGAGCTGGGCAAGTCTGTGAGGGGCAGTTTCCATGCCTGTGTGCCTGATCGTAAGGGCCGCCACCAGACTTGGCCAGAACCACAGCCCTGTTCGAAGGCCACTGCAGCCCGGCCAGCCCGATCCCACATGGCCGACTGTGGTGAGATCTGGCCCCAGCAGCTTGAAAAATGCCAGCGTGTGTGTGTGTTAAGTTCCAGATCCTGAGGGGACAGAGACGTGCAGAAGGGACCGCAGCGGACTGCACCCTCTGGGGGTGATTTCTCTCTCTCTCTCTCTCACACACACACTCGCGCATGCATGCGTGTGCCCTCTGGCAATAAAAGAAAAGCGAATTACTTCTGGGAGACATCTGTCCGGTAGCCACCTGTCCAGCCTGGCCCGATGCCATCCTTGTTACTGACCTGACAGCCAGAGATAGCTGTCCTAAGGGCGTATGTAACCCTCTCCTGTCTCCTCTGACGTCCCTGGACATGCCCGGCGTTCCCACAAGTGTGGTCTGCATGGCAGTGAGCGCTCCCCAGTAAACGCCAGCTTTGCTTTTAGAGGACCTCCTCCTGCTGTTTAGAGGCTCACAACGCAGCACGTGACAATGTCCACACAACCGACTGTCCCTGCGCTGGCCCGGTTCGTCCACGTGGACCGATACATTTGAGAGTAACTGATTATTCAGTGACGTATTCTTCCTAGATAGACTCTTTTTTTTTTTTTTTTTGAGAGTTTTTTTTTTTTTTT